TCATTACGAATAATATCAAATTAATCACTTTGGCTGTAACATATTATGTATATACATTTAGGTCAAACTGATACTCCTTTTTTAAAGTCGGTTAAAAAAGAATCATCAAAATACGTTAAAAAACGACGAAGTCATCCCTGAAGGAACATAAAAAAACCTTATAGGTATATAACTTTTCCTTTTTTTTAAGTCCGTTATAAATAACAAAGGTCTGGGGTTCATAGGCTCTTGTACTATATGGATTGTCAAATTATTATTTTTTACGGCAACGCTGGGGCTAAAAAATTATTAAAACATTACAATAATAATTTTCCAAATTATTTAGATAATAAATAACTATTAAAATAATATTGTTAATAATTAGATATTGATATTAAATACTTTTTTATATTATCTCCTTATTTCTATAAAATAGTATGCATGTAGTTTGTACTATTTTAATACTGGCATATAATATGTATACTTTTTGCTTGATAAAGAAAAGAAACAAAAACAAAAATTTGAAATGTCAAAATTGTAAAAATTTTTGCCAAAAATATTTTAAATTATTTAATAATTTGTGATGGGATTTTGTGATTGTTTTTCTAAAAAAGGAAGTTCTGCGATGCGTGTTGTGTTTTCTATAAAGGACCTTTTGTATACATGTATATCACAAATCACAAAAGTACATTGTGTTTGTTTGTCTATTCATTGGACTTGATTTTACAAAGGAACGCTTTAATTTGCGTATATATCTTATTTATAATAAAGAACATCAATACGAAGAATACAATCATGTTGCTGAAGGTAAAACCTACAACAAGTTTATGATTTTTGCTATTGAACCTATTTATACATTTTATTTGATTCATTGAGATACCAAACTATGTAGTTTTTATAAATTTCTACTTTTTCTTTTGTATATTTGTTACAGTGATATTTGGAATTGCTATTGCATCGATATTACTTCAGCATCATCATTGCAGAATATCAATAGTGCAATTTTTTATCGGCAGTTACGAGTCTTACGATGTCCGGATAAAGTGCCGATCTATACCAGCAGTGCTTGAAACCTATTTTAGAGATGGTAAATACTATATTATTTTTGTAACATCAGTAATATGACGTAAGGTACACCTACCTTAGATAAATAAAAGAAAACAAATAAATAAAATACATATTTCTGCATGTAAAAATAATCTTTGTTTTTTTTCAGGTACTATTGGGAATTATTCTAACATTCAGACGTATATTGTTGTCTCAAGAAACAAGAAACCCATAGATCGCTGCAAATATTAAAGCCGTATTATTTTTGTAAAACTATTTTTATCTTTGTATTAATGTATATATCATAATTAGAACAACATTTTAAGTACCTACGCACAACAAAGTAATATTAAATTTAAATAAACTAAAATAGGTACATATTCACACCTGGAAGTGGAAGGACTGCCTCGTTGGCCGAGTGGTCGCAAGTGCGACTGCCGGGCAAGAGGTCTCGGGTTCGATTCCCGGGTCGGGCAAAGTATTACTGGGTTTTTAAAAATTCTCAGTAGTAGCACGGAGTCTGGAATTGTGCCCGGTATATGGCAATAGGCTCACCCCCTATTACATGGGACTCATAACATAAATAGTGAAAAATGGGTTTTACATTGTACAGCGGCATAATGTGAACCTCTGCCTACCCCTTCGGGGATAAAAGGCGTGATGTTATGTATTCACACCTTAAAAAAAATGTTACCTTAGGGCATCAAAAAATTCTTTTTCATCGCTATCGTGGAGTAGGGTGCCCAAAAGACTGGCAGCATTATTCTAGGTTTTACTTATTTGTATTCATATATGTAGAGGTCTCTCCTTCTTGGGCTTGACCTGGTGAAAATGGGCACCGCTTCCCGCAACCCGCAGTAAAACGATGCTCATAGCCCCTTCTAAATTTGACTTATAAATCTCCTTTTTCTCTTCTGCTGACTACTTGACTACTAACTGGGTGTAGTTTGTGTGCCAGATGTGGATTGTGAGCTTCATGTGATGGTTGACTGAGTGGTATGTGGTGTTTGCGCTTGAGATGGTTGTAATTGATCGGAATCTGGAATGTATGTGACGAAAACTGTGTCTCCTAGTACTTTGCTAAGAATGATTATTGTGTGAATGGTGGCTAATGTCTATTTATGTTTCTAGTTTGTCTGTGTATCTGCTGAGGCTTTTGGCTAGTACCTACTTCTGTGGCTCCAATTACTATAGAATTAACATGCGTTTCAATATTTCAAGGCGTCTAGCCTTGAGTTGTGTCTTTAAAAAGTGGTATTTACTGAATTTCTTTTGCTCCTATGTCGTAGTTACATGGTACAGTGTTATGTCAAAGAGGTATGTGGTGTTGGATGTTTTGTTTGTGTATATTATGTCCGGTCTGTTGTGGGCAACTGTGAAGTCTGTCTGAATTGGGATTTCCCACATTATTTTGCCTGTTTCATTTTCATTTGTATTTATAATAATAATATTACTTTGTTTCATTATAATGTTATAAAAATATTATATTTGAGGATAGGAAAAATCTGTAGTTGTTTAGTAAAAATGACTATAATATAACTAGATATACGAAACGACTAAGTCAGGCATTATTAGCAACTAGCAAAAAAAAGTACTAAAAAACTGAGACTGACTGAGACGCAGACTGAGACTTATTTTTAAGCACTATATTTTTCGACATTATAATAATAAGTGCGACTGCCGGGCAAGGGGTCTCGGGTTCGATACCCGGGTCGGGCAAAGTATTACTGGGTTTTAAAAAAATCTCAGTAGTAGCACGGAGTCTGGATATGTGCCCGGTGTATGGCAATAGGCTCACCCCCTATTACATGGGACTTATAACATAAATAGTAAAAAGTGGGTGTTACATTGTACAGTGGCATTGAGTGCCGAAATGTGCACCTCTGCCTACCCCTTCGGGGATAAAAAGGCGTAATGTTATGTATGTTATGTTATGTAAATTGTATAATAATTTTGTGTTTTTGTAAATACTGTAAGCGATTCAAATCGATGGTAAAATGTACTACATTTGTGTAGGTATTACGGTTAATTTATTTCATTAGATTGTTAACTACTGTTAGGTACTGTGTAAACAACGGTGAACAGTAAGTATTTTTAATTTTAGTTCTTTGTGGGATTAATAATTAAAAAAATACTAATTCAAATAAATTTTGAACGACATATTTATATCTGAAATTTGTAAACATAAAATTAAAAAGAACTAAAATTTGAATTATACTTTGAACAAATCTGTCGTCTGATATTTCCCTACTAGCTGATAATTTTTAAATGTTAATTTGTATTTACTGTAAAATAAATGTAATACTGTAATTAATAACTTCTTTGATTTTGCAGCTACCAGACATAGCTAATTCCAATACTACCTTCAACGTACCAACCTGCAAGGTGCATTGTTGGTAGTATTGGCATTAGCTATACTTAGGATTATCTGTAGACATTAGTAAAAAAAAATATATACTAGGATTCAATTTTCAGATGGCGTTTCAAATTGATTGGCATAAATTTTGACGAGTGGCAACTCTTTACCCCTATACTTATTATACTCTTTGGGAGGACGTAATGCGTTCAAAAAGTAGGCCACGCGTATATCTCAGTACTTTCTTTCGATTAGAATTTTAAAAAATATTTGTGTCTCAAAGGTTTCTCAAATAACACAACAAATATTTTTAAAATTAGTGTGTATCTTTTGAAGTGAAAATATGCGTTTGATACTTATTTATCGTCTTTTCTATTTTTAAATATAATAAAAATCAATAAAATGTAGAGCAAAGAGGTAACATCATCTAGTTTCTAAACGCAGCCATGCCATTACATGTAATGTTGCCAGTTTTCAAATATGAGTAATTTTACCATTTGGTAGAAATGTAGAAATCCTATGCAAAAAAAGATGATATTAAAAAGAAACGATCTACTTATTTTAAAATATTTTTTTAAATATGTATAATTTATATAACACGAAAAATATGACATATCTATCCCACAGCACAGTGTGAAATATAAATAATACTTAAATATAATAAAACTAATTAAAATAAAGTTTATTTTGTAATATATGTGCCTCCAAAATCGAGTAACCTGTTTTTTTTTAGTTTAATTTATTAAAATTAGTTTTAATTTACATAATTTGCAACAGAATTATTTCTTAATAGTACTATTCAATTACTCATATCCTGATAAATATGAGGATAAAGCATTTAAATAATGTTGGTTTTGTGACAAAACTTCAAGCACTTTAACATGGTTTGTTATCACTGAAATACTGTAGATACTGAGTCATATGTATGAACAGGATGATTAGAAATATCTTCCATCTAAGAAACCTGATTAGTACCACATTAAAGACTTCTATAAGACTGATAAATAAAATAACATGCCAAATCATTACAAAAGTGTGTGAATGAAATAGTAATAGAAATTGGATAAGGATTTATTTTTATGTGAATTGTTATTTCTGGTTAATATATATTCAATCATTAAATGCTAAAAAGATTTGAACTCATGTACTATCGAGGTGTAAACAATGATTGTATTGTTTTTACACAATTTCTAATTTTTTATTTTCGAGGATATCACTCAGAAAGTCTTCCTTTTCAATAATTTAGAAACACTTTGGAATTATAATCTAGCTGTAATCGTGTACCTATCTGTATCTGTACATGTAGAAAAGTTTCAAACCAAAAAACTTTTTCTTTGAGGCTGAATAGAATGTACACAACAGACAGAGGTTAGTGGCGGCTCGAATTCACTGCCACGGTCGTCTGGCCTAACAATGAGCGACACCTTCGTGATGTAACTAAGAATAAATTGATAATAGAGCTATCCAAACGTATCTAGGTTAACATTCAGATGCCCTTTGCATACCAATACTTTTACTGCAAGTTTAACCGCTTGAACACTTTAAAACCACTTGTAACTCAAAGTACATGCAACGTACTTAAGAGTAGTTGATAATATATCAAAAAACAACCACTTACCTCGCCATTTGAAATGTTTATTCCTAAATAAATATCGCCAAATGATCCACCACCTATTCTTCTGATTATTCTATATTTTCCCGAAATTAATAACTCTTTTCTAAAAGTTAGCGCATGTTCAAACGAATTCATTGTCGGTTTGAGTTCGTTAGTTTAAATAAAATAGTAAATTTTGTAACAAATTAACACAAAAATACTTCAAATAAACACTTCGACACGCTAACAGCTGTGGTCGGTGTTACCAATTAATTGAAAGATTCAAAAGACGTATTATGACATTTGATAACAATGTTACTAAATGAAATAATTACGGATCTCGTTTTAAAAATTAATAACTCGATTTACTAATGATAGCAATCGAAAGAATGTACTTAAATCAAGATAAATAATGTTATTTAAACAAATAATATAATGACACTATTACGAAAGCAACAAAATAACACATGCTAGTGCAATGTGCATCTTCTACTCTTCTACAAGTTGAAAATGTTTTTCGAATTTCGGAGCAATAATAATGTATTTTATAAGCCATTCCAATACCTATAAACCTAGACGGTATATAAAGTCAACAAACATTAAAATAAAGTAGTTGATTGAGTAGGCTCGTGATAGATAAGGTACCTATATCATCATCACTCTACCTACGTAGAGTACTATTATATAGGATATTCTACTTCTGGATCACATGTGAATGTCAATGTTTTTACTCAGTAAGTCTCACACTCCCTTTCGCTTTACATAAGGCGGGACCGCGGGAGATGTCATTGGAGATTGAAATAAAAAAATAAAATAAAAAGGGCTTATCTTAATATTTGGTTTTTATAGCGCTCAATCATCAGTTGCCTGACGTTATGTCATGATCCATAGTCAGTGTCAGTCTTGAGTCTACTACTGGACTTTTATACTCCTCTTCAAAAGACAGAAAGGAGTTGCCATAACCTACCTACAACCCGGCAGGCGGGTTGGAGATCAGTTTTAAAAGAATTAGGTTTGTCAAAGAACGCTTCTTTCGGCCCTCTGATATTGTGTAATCGGCATGGTCTTAACTAGCGAGAAGAGTCGGGGTATAGATAGTCATCTACCCCAACCCCGACTGCCAGTCGGCAGAGAATGCTGTTAACATTAAGTCCTCCTTACGCGCACGATGAGATTGACATCGTCACAAAATGTGTACAAAAATCCCTTAAAATAAATGAGATTAAAAAAAAAGTCTTCCTTACGCAATTGTGTAAAACTTAATGCACCACATGCTTTAGAATCCATAATGTTGTTTAAATGACCATTAACGATTTGAAACCATTAATGTGTGTTAGTGTGGGAGAGCCATGTTTTTTTCGTCGTGTGAGGTTACCGGAGGCGGTATCATGCTTCCCCCTGCCCAATCCTTGAATTTTCAAATCCCTAAAAGGCCGGTAACCCACATGTAACACCTCTGGTGTATCGGGTGTCCATGTGCGGCGCCGATTGCTTACCATCAGGTGATCCGTCTGCTCGTTTACTGGCTTTTCCGAAACCAATCGAGAACTCACGAACTTTTACGTAAATCGTGTTTCTTTATCATTTTGATATCGGAATTATTGTTAGAAATTGCAGTAAAGACAGGAAATAGAATGTTAAATCATAACACGTCACTTCTAATGAACTTTTTATTTATTTCAGTAACATACAATATCAGCGTTGTATACTATAAAATGACTTATGCACGAAAATAGTAACACTTAAAATATAAATATGTCCAAACGGATCTTATCTTCAAAACTAACAAAAAAAGTTTTACTCGGAGATATAGCGCCAACAATTTGAGCTGTTGAAAACAAAACGCAACTGATTTTTTCTTTTTATATGTTTTTTATATTATATTAGATGGGATTGACGTTTGACCATAAATACCATTGATATTTTATTCGCTTTGCGCTTTTTCGCTTGTTGGCATTATACATTTAAGTAAAATTCTTTCTTCACCTACTTACTTTTTGTTTTCAATTGGGCATGTATATTTCGATTTTGTTCACCATAACTCTAAAATAGTTCATTAACATGATTTTGTATAACATTTATGTAGGCTGTGTTTTTCTAGCAATCTAATACACGAAATGATCCTAAGATTAACCGCATCCAACTTTTTTTTTAAACAATCATTATTTTGTTCTTAACTTCAAGTAGTAATAGACTACTGTTTAATTTTATTTCCGTGTTCAAATACAACGAAGCATGATTATTTCTATTCCCACTACGTAAGAGTCAAATTGGAAAGACGAATTTTAATTTTATTGTAGGGTTCCGTCAGTAGTTAGTATTTAACTTCGTTAAATTATTATTAACATCAAAACTGGGTTAATCAATTCAACAACGATGTTAAAAATATACAAACTGTTGACACAATCATGCAATGGCACAGATAAAAATATCATCATTACAAAATAATTATAATATTCTGGGGTTGGGCTTATTATAAAATTATTTAAAAACTCTCCAGCATTGTCTTTGAATAAAAATAATTTATTGTAAAGAACAAAAGGACTTACAAACTTAGAGATAACAAAAAAATATATAATTATATTTTACAACAAATATGGTATAGAAGAAGAATACTTGTTTACAGTTAAAGTAATTATAAAATAAAATCTAATAATTATTATAGTTTATCGAATATAAGATGCATAACCTACGTAAAAGTGATAAATAAACTTATATAGGGTTTGTTTCACCACTCCCTCAAAAGTTCTCCATAAGTTTTAACTGCAAGATAGTCATGTCATGTTCCATTTTCAAATGGCAGTAGGAACACTATTTTATTTGTTGTAGATTTTTTTAGGTTGGTAACTCAGTCATAGGCCCTTTAGAAGACATGCAAGCTTGATCTCTTCATGAAAAAATCTGGTTTCTTAAACATTTATTTGCTTTAGAAAATAACTTACAAATAAAACAGATAGAATGTACTAGTATAAGAACCGTCTAACCTTCACAACATACCATTTGATCAATCTTAACATTTAGTTTTGTAAAATAAAACTTGAAACATGATCTAGTGATTTCTTTAAAAATACCACTTTCCTACTTATTACACACTACGGAACCCTATTGTGCATAGTCACACAATTGTCCAAACGTTATATTATTCATTTAACATTATGTTACAGTGATTGCTTCACTAAACAAAAGTAATATAGATTGCGTTAAAATCTGTACTCCTTAGTGCTCCTTATTTCGCTTTTATAACAATATTATTACTTAAAACAAAATAGTAATATTGAAAAAGCGTTAAAACTTAATAACTAATTTGCAACAACGCAATAATTTGATTTAAATATATTGTAAACTCGATTCGAGTCGCAAATAGGAAAGCAACCACAGTAACACAACATAGATGTTTCTAGAAAGCCAAGAATCCATACATAGACAAGTTAAAAACCTACATCCACTCAAATGTCCGCCATTTGCAAAACATTTTTTTTTATTATTTATTAAGGTGAAGGCATGCACTTGAGGCGCTCAAATGCGGCCTTTTCTAAAGCTTCACGATGATCGGGGTGGGCGATCTTGATCAGTTCGTATGCTCTCTGCCTGAGGGACTTGCCGAACAAGTCTGCGATACCTTGTTCAGTGACGACATAGTGTACGTGGGCACGGCTCGTTACTACACCAGCACCTGCAATTTTAGAAAAAAAGGCTAGTTATAGACAGGCATATAAGAGTTACTTTGTTCTACCAAGGGATTCAACTGAGAACATCGTTCCCTGTCCTCACGCGCGCATACCTCAAACTTGTTGGTGTTACAGCAAAAATTAAAATAATATTAATAATTTTCATATGTAGGATGGTCATTGCATATATAAATCACAAGAATCACTGAGAGTTTGCAAAAATACTGGTTATTATTATTATAAATACTTGGATTTTAAGTAATTATCTGACTCTGACTACCTCGTTGGCCGAGCTGTCGCAAGTGCGACTGACGGGCAGGGGGTCTCGGGTTCGATTCCCGGGTCGGCCAAAATACCACTGGGTTTTAAAAATTCTCAGTAGTAGCACAGAGTCTGAAAATGTGCCCGGTATATGGCAATAGGCTCACTCCCTATTACATGGGACTCATAACATAAATAGTAAAAACTGGGTGTTGCCTATGTGCACCTCTGCTTACCCCTTTGGGGTTAAAAGGTGTTATGATATTATGTATCTGAACACAAAATTAAAGCATTTTCTTTCTTATACTGACCAACTTTGAGTGTAGGAACAATCTTGGACTCTCCCTTCTTGGTGACTGACACGAGAGCAATGATGGGCTTGCCCTTTCCGTCCACGGACTCCGCTGCACCGCGGATGAAGTCCACCTGACCACCGAAACCGGAGAACATGCGTGTACCTGAGGAAAAGATAGAAACATTTTAGTTTTCAACAATTATTTATATTAGCACTAGCTTCGGTTTTTGCCGGCTGGTTTGCTCTCGTTACCAGATTATTGATAGCTTACGTCACGTAACAGATCAGACTACAATCTATTTATATATGTATATATATTCATATATAAAAAAGTCTTCTATCTATATAGAAAACCAAAAATAATTATAAACTGTTTAAAAACCGAGTCTTTTTTAAGTTGGTTAATTAATACACTAAAACCTTCTCCTAAGTGTAACAAACACTTTTCTGAAAACCGCATCAAAATCCGTTCAGCCCATCGCGAGATAACCGCGCACATACATACATAGAAACATACATACACATCAAACTCTTTTTCGTTTTAAAGTCCGATATCTTTATATATATAATTCTTCTGTGAATGTGTATGTCACTGAACTTGTCTCAAACGACTGGACCGATTTTGATGTAATTTTTTGTGTGTGTTCAAGGGGATCTGGGAATGGTTTAGATTCACAAATCAGCCCGGCAGATGGCGGTGCAGTCGATGTTTAGGTACTAATTTAAATGAATTTTTGTTTATACATTCAAGTGGATATGCAGGACAATGTCTGTTGGGTCCGCTAGTCATAATATAAAAGTTTAATTTAACAGTTCAAAGTAACAGCGCATCAAAATTGGCTGAGGTTTCGAGAAATTATAGATTATTTTTGTAGAAGTTTTTAAAATGAAATATATTTATATGACTATCTCACCGATGGAGTCAGCGCACACTTGTCCAGTCAGGTCGACTTCAATGCAGGAGTTGATGGCCGTCATCTTGGGCAGCAGTGAAATGATGTGGGTGTTGTTCACATAGTCGATCTCCAACATTTCTATAAATATACAAAAATGTTAATAAGAAAATAATCCAAACAGTGCAAACACGTGAACGGGAAACCAGAAATCATTGATTTCCTTTTAGAAAAGAAAATATTATGAGGTGTGATGCCACATATGGCATCAGTCATCTCTTAGAGTGGGACTTTTGTACGGTAGTGGACGTCTTCCGGTTAATAAATACTAACCAATGAAGGGGTTGTTGTCAACGAAGTCATACAGTTCCTTGTTACCGACGAGGAAACTGCCCACCATGCGGCCTCTGTGAGTCTTTTTCCTAGAACACAAAAATTGAACATTAAAAAAACAATAGAAGATTAAAATTCAACAAGATACGTTAATAGTCTGAACCTTAGATTGACCTTTCGTAATAGGAAGATTGAAATTGTCATCCTTATCCTTACTAATATTATAAATCGAAAAGTGAGTTGTTTGTTTGTTTGTTTGTTCCGACTTCACGCCGTAACTACTAAACCGATTACATTGAATTTTTGCAGACGTAAAGTTAGTAGTCTGGATTAAGTAATAGGATACTTTTTATCCCGAAAAAATTTGATATTCCCGAGGGAAAACAAAAGTATTGGTATAGATGGCGCTGTATGTATTGGTATATGTCACATAGGCTACTTTTTATCCTTTTGTGACGCGAGCGAAGCCGCGGGTAAAAGCTAGTTTAACAATAAACAAAATAAAATTTTTTAGGCCTTGTAAGTCCCTACTGTGTTGTTTGTTAGTTTATGTTGAATGTTGTTTATGTTAAATGAGTAGACGACCAATCTCTTAAGATAGTTTTATTGCTATTTAATTGAATAATTGAATAAGTTTACAATGTTCTGAAATATTGATCTTGGTTATTTAATTATTTGCACGTATGACGACAAAAGTCAATGTACAGCGTAGCTCGTACAAAATAAGATTAAAGTGTCTTGTGTTTTTATAAGTCTTTCCCCAATGATGCTACTCGCTCGTTCCAAAGTTTTTCTATTCTCAAGCAGAGGATTAAGAACTTAATGTTTATTTTCTTCTTTAACTGAATGTAAACTTACTTGTTGTTGGTGATGCAACCACGCCTGACGAGGTCGATGACTCCGACGCTGAACATCTCGGAGTGGATGCCGAGATCCTTGTGGTCCTTCAGAGCAGACAGCACTGCGTCGGGAATGCTTCCGATACCTAAGAGATGTTTTTAATATTTATTTAAAGTTCAGAAATGTTTCTGATTCACGTATTGAAGAATATGGGAGAATACAGTAGATGCCTAATTTTTATTTTAATGTCCGCCTGGTAGATTATTTTAAATCATTAGACACGTATTTTTTATTTTCTTACAGAAACAAATACTTTCGATGATATATTGATTTGAAATGTCGCGTGACGTCACTTCTATGTATATTTTATACTTAGAAATGACGTTTTAGCTCCCACTCCTAAACTTTGATTCGTTTTATCTAAGTATTGTTTTATTACACGACAAAATAAAAAAATACGTGTCTAATATTTTTCATTACCTAACTTATGGACTGATTATATTTTTATTTTTCATACCCTGTCATCATCTTAATTACTTTGAGCATAAACACTTTCAGAATAAATCAAATGGTGGTACTAGTGTAAATGTTAAAGAACTACAAAGCGGTGATGTAACTAAATTAATTAACTTTTTACTTCTCGAACACTTAAAATACCTTGACAACATTGATGAAAAATACATTTTTTTTTATAATAAATAACTATCGTGAGACATTCTAAATTAACTAAAATCGCGGGTTACTCACGTGAATATACAGAGAAAAGCTCTACTAGTTTCGAACCACAAAAGGGGTTCTTCCTCATGAGCAGCGTGCGCGGTCGCGGCGACGTCGCGCAGCTCTTTTTTTATTCCAAATATTGTCCAAAAAATCTAAGAAAATACTTATAACTCGGAAAAAGTCACGTTGGTTGCCGGTGGTAGGTTTTGAACCCGTATATGAGAAGCCGGCGGTCTTGAACCTCCGGTCCACTACGGCAACAACGGACCATAAGCCTGCTTCCTACCAATAGAAAGAAAAAAAAACATATTTTCTAGAAAATCGAGCTATTTGGCGATATATCCGAATTGATACGACCTTCAAACCTTCAAGAAAAGAGCGTATTCCTTTTTAAGAGGCCGGCAACGCACCTGCGCCTCCTCTAGTGTTGCGGGTGCCCATGGGCGCCGCTGATCGCTTACCATCAAGTGATCCGGCTGATCGTTTGCCTCCTATTCCATAAAAAAAATATGAACATACCCATCTGCAGAGTAGCTCCATCTTCAACGAGATTCTGTCCAATGAGCTTGCCGATCTCTGTCTCCTCAGGGCTGGCGGCCTTGCCCCCGTGCTCAGGCAGCGGCGTGTTGTCTTCCACGGCGGTGTCAATGTGAGACATGTGGATGATCGCGTCGCCAAACGTACGGGGCATGTGTGCGTTCACTTGAGCTGTAATGAGACGTGCATGTTTTAGACAGATACTAAATTATTGTGTTAGTTTCTTTGTTCTACTGTTAGATTATGGGTTGTTTACTTAACAGAGATTTGCTAATGTTTTTTATGGTATAAGCCGTTAAACGAGCAGACGATAACCTTATGGTAAGCAACACCGCCCACAGACGCGCGCGCGTGTGTGTATGTGTGTGTGTGTTACCGGCCTTTTGGGAATTGGGAGTTTGAGGATTGTGGGGATTCGGGGATTGGGGTGACTGAGGGGGGGCGGGGGGGGGGGGGGTAATTAGGCCTCCGGTAACCTCGTTCACACGACGAAACACAACGCAAGCGTTGTTTCACGTCGGTTTTCTGTGCGGCAGTAGTATCGCTCTCGCTACTGGATTTGATGTCGCAGTTTCAATGGTTATCATAGAGCGCTGCTGTCTGCTCGCCCAATGTTTAGTCCTATACAATTTTACAAAACCAAAATATTTTCTTTAAACTAATTAATACTTTGTCCTAATCGGGAATTCAGCGTGAGACATCTTGGTCGTTGTCGTTACCTCATGCTACTAATTATATATCAACATATTATGAGAAAATAAACAACATACAAAAAAATATGAAGGTATACTCATTAATCAATACACGACACATTTTAAACAATAACCAATTAATGTCTATTAAAATAATTATACGTAGAAAGAACAATAGAAGGCATTATAATATTATTATTATTAAGTAATCACGAGGTTGGAGATCGTTCGTGGCAAGGACAGCGACACAATCAGTATTAGATTACACTAGAACGACATATATCTAATCATCTTACAAGATGCCTTCGAGATCTCTGTAAATGCATAGTTATAGTTACGTTCGCAATATTATGTAATTCTTTCGTACTAGCTTTTACCCGCGGCTTCGCTCGCATCACAAAAGGATAAAAAGTAGTCTATGTGACATATACCAATTACCAATACACACAGCGCCATCTATACCAATACTTTTGTTTTCCTTCGGGAATATCAATTTTTCTGTGATAAAAAGTACCCTATTATTTAATCCGGACTTCTAACTTTACGTCTCCAAAAATTCAAAGCAATCGGTTTAGTAGTTACGGCGTGAAAGCGGAACACAAACACTCACTTTCCGATTTATAATATTTGTAAGGATAGTAAGGATCGTACGCATTGAATGATAAGTAAGAATGAAAAATAAATTACCAATGATGACTTTGGAGTTGACCAATGCCGCTCTCACGCAGTCCACAGAGGTTCCCAAGCTGCAGTAACCATGCGCATCAGGGGGAGAAACCTGGAATATTCGAAACAATAATTATTAAGACTACCTCGTTGGCTGAGTGGTCGCACTACCTCGTTGGCTGAGTGGTCGCAAGTGCGACTGCCGGGCAGGGGTCAGGGTCAGGCAAAGTATTACTGGGTAAAAAGTGTCCGGTATATGGCAATAGCCTCACCCCCTTTTACATGGAACTCATAACATAAGTAGTGAAAAGTGGGTGTTACATTGTATAGTGGTATTAAGTGCCGTATGTGCTCCTCTGCCTACCCCTTCGGGGATAAGAGGCGTGATGTTATGTTATGTGATATTATAATTTGATAGTTGATATTATAATTTGATATTTGATATGCGTGATGTTATAATTTGATATTTTATACTACCTAAGTACTAAACAAAAACATTGTTTGTATTTCTTATAGACATCTCTTTCTAATTTATGATTGGTATTTGGCTTATAGGACTAAAAGTGGACGTCAAATCGTTATAGTGAAAGGAAAATTAACAATTCAAAGTGCCAATTATGACTCTATACCATAGTGACTGTCTCAATGTCAAAGTCAAAGTCATTTATTTCAATTAGACCAGAAAGGCACTTTTGAACGTCAACAATAAAATTAAAAGTGAAGCTATTTGCTCATTCCAAGGTGTAGATTCCTAATGGTTAGAGTAGTCATGATAAAGAGTCTTTTAGTGACGGTTTGTTGTGTAAAGTAATATTGTGTTAAAACGAACCTGGATAACAGCAATGTCGGGCTGGATGATCTTCCTGTGGAATAGCTTAGGAATGTCTTGCAGGAATATGGGGATGGCGTCTGATCGTCCCTCCGCCACTGACTTGCGGACGTTAGCGGCCATGAACAGAGATACTGATCTGAAAGGGAAACGTGGAATTATTATTTTTAATATATATTTTTTTAAAACATTGCCCACATTAGGATTTTCTCCTGTGTCATCTCATGGGTGCGTTTACAAACATACAAGTTCATATACACACGACACCCAGACTCGGAACAACAATCTGTGGATCACACTAAAAGTTGTTCCGTGCGGGAATGAAACCCGCGACACGTTTCGCGGAAGCCAGTTGCCCAACCACTGCGCCAACCGTGCAGTCGCATTATCAGCAATTCATGAACAACTGTGAAGATGCTGTACCTGTCTCTCGGACATACTCGGATATTAGACGGATCACAGAGGTATAATTATTTTTTTATCCACTGTAGGTACACACGGCTACACATCGAGCTTTACATAACCAGTATAAACTGAACGTTAAATGTGCGGAAAGATGATACGACGCGACACCAGGATAAACTGGTTTTGTATAGGTTGATGTGTGGCCGTGTGTACCTATATTATGCTTGTGCAGTTACTCTTTTCATACAAGCCAACGCAAAAACCATCGCAGTTTATTAATTACTAGTTGTTGCTCGCGACTTCGTCCGCGTAGAATATGAATTTTAGAACATATTTTTTTTTGTTTTAATTTTCCAAAATAAAAGTACCTAGCCTATGTTACTCCTTAGTGGCTTAGTATATCAGCTACCTGCCAATAAAAGTCCCGTCAAAATCGGGCTAGCCATTCCAGAGAATAGCCAGTACAAACAGACAGACAAAAATTATAAAAAATGTTACTTTGGTATGTGTATCGTATGTATGTATATTCATATGCATGTAGTAAAAAGCGGTTGTTTTAATATTATAAACAGACACTCCAATTTCATTTATATGTATGGTGGATGGATGAGATAGTTTTTAATTTCTATCTACTTTAGGCTTTAGGTATTCGTTTGACCTAGATCAAAGACAATAAAATCAAGTTTTAATTGTAATAGATACTGTCACTATACAAATAATTGTACATCAAACTATCGCTGTCATTCAACAGATTATCGACCTTATTGTTCTTATAATAAAGCCTATATTTATTAAAGAAATACTGCTTAGAGTAAGTCAAACTTCTAACACCATATATTGTACAATTATCAACCTATATCAAAAAGTAATAAGGTCGAAAATCAAAGTAGCGTTTATCTAAAAATGTTAGAAGTACATAGTAAGATAATAATAGTTTATCGTTTAATAGCGTGTTATTAGTGTAATCACTTATCATTTACTCATTTTGGCGTTATCAATGACAATTAATACTTAATCTGTGTGATAAGGTTATCATAGGCTCATCTCAATTACCTTAGGAGAAACGTTAGAAAGACTTAGGCCTGGCGCCCACTATCGGCATCGGCATCTTACATGCAAGCGCACACTGTCGGAAACTATGCTTTAGCATGCTGGAACGTTCTTAGGGATGACGAGGTCTCCGGCCACCGTAAGCGCGGGCCTGCGGACGGCGAGCACGGGTGGCTCCCCGTCCGACCAGAAACAGACCCGAGCGTACGGCGCGTTACGTTCCGCGCGCGCCTCAAAGAGCCATCAGACCACCACAGATGGGGCCCAATAGGGCCGATGCCGATTCGGAGTCGCGGAGAACCTAACGGGTAACCGGGGCTCCGGCTCGACGTGCAGGGGAAGGAACGGGGTGGTTTTTAGTCAGGAAGAGTCTGACACTCCCTTCCGCCTCACCCAGGCGCAGGGCATTTTATAGTGCACAAGTGTGTGCGCTAACACAGATGCTCTCTCTATTCCCTCACTATCGTATACCCTTTGGGACGGTAGTTCGACATGACCTGTGAGGTCTGGCGCAGAACCAATATGTTTTCAAATTTTTTTACGGGATAACCCGGTAAACGAACGGTCGAATCACCTGATGATAAGCAATCGGCGCCGCCCATGGACACCCGAAACACTACAGGCGTTACAAGTGCGTTGCCAGCCTTTTGGGGATTACTTAGGGATTTAGGAATTTGAGGTTTGTTGGGGATTGCGGAGTAAGTAACTGGGCCTCTGGTAACCTCAGTCACACGGCGAAACACAACGCAAGCGTTGTTTTACGTCGGTTTTCTGTGAAGCCACGGAATGCCCATTCGTGTCGGAGCATGGCTCTCATACGCTTAGAAAAACTATTACTATTTTTACAATAATTTGTACCTACATATATCTTATCATCTGCCCCGTTAGCAACATTTAGAAAACAAAATATCGTGACAGTATTATCTGACATCTGCGGTCTCAGAGTGACATGATTGGAGATTTCAATACTTTGACACTCGTCGATAACTCGATAACATATCAAACTTTAAGATCATCTGGATTATTCTGAATGTCATACCCAAGTAGTAGATCCCTATTATAGGTACCTAAGGTGCGTTCTAATCTGGTAAACTTACCGCAAATGTGCAGCTCGCGCGCCGTTTGTGAGCTGCGCGCGTGCAGTCACGGCAATGATTTGGTGCTCAACTCACATACCGTTCGTATAAATAATAATTATATTTGCACTAAAGTGGCGCACCAAACCATTGCCGCGACTGCACGCGCGCAGCTCGCAAGCGGCTAGCGAACTGCACATTTGGGGCACATTCATCGGATGTGGACGCACCCTAACATACCTTTATAAACTAGTTGGCTACGGAGGACAAAGCTCCTTTACATACATAATATGAGGATTTAAGATAATATCCACGCTTGCCAGGCGGAATGTAATCTACAGTACATGTTTTCGAGAGAAAGTAGGTAGGTAATAAACGTTTTAAACAGGAAATATCGGTTGTGGATATTTTTTCTTTTTGAAAAATACATTGCTCCACACTAGGATTTTCTCCTGCGTCGTGGGTGCGTTTACAACATACAAGTTACATACAGGTTCACATGTAAGTACACATGACACCCAGACCCGAAATAACAATTTGTGGATCACACAAAGAGTTGTCCGTGTGGGAATCGAACCCACTACACATTGCACGGCAGCCGGTTGCCCAGCCACCGTGCCAACTGTGGAGTCGATCCAGGTTGTCTATTAGTTATGTTTGTAATATCTTTTACAACATGTAGCAAGCTTTATTACATGGGAGTGTCCTTTTATCGTACATCGTATCTTTGATAAGGATTCAGTTAAGCTGTAAAAAGTCAAGGTTATCATTTTTAAATTGCCTTAAAGTCCTACTACATTTCTTGTGGCATTTTTCGCACTGTCTAAAAGTAAATTCTATGATATTTGAATCCAGTTTATTTCAATCGATGTTGGTAAGACAGTAATAAAATTTAAAAAAGATGTCAGAATAAACCTTTTTCCCGGGGATTAGATATCGCTTTATGGGTCATCCATACTGTGCAAATTATAGACATAGGTAGTGTATATAAAAATATTGATTATGTATCCTGTTCAAGTGTTCATGTCCAAAAATATTTCACCATAATTATTAAGTCTAGTATTCTTATCTTATCTATGGCAATGTATCAGCGCATAATAATTTCTGAATTGCACTGAAAATCATGATTTCAGCTGCTAACCATTTTGGTGTAACTATGTAATTGGTTAGTTTCCTAGGTTTAAAATAAATTGTTTCAACTTGTCAATGCAATAAATAATAAAAAAATAATCATACTCTCATTCATTTTTTTTATGGCATAAGCCGGTAAACGAGCAGACGGATCACCTGACGGTAAGCAATCGGCGTCACCCATGGACACCTGGAACATCAGAGGCGTTACAAGTGCGTTACCGGCCTTTTGGGCATTAGGAGTTTGAGGATCGTTAGGGATTCAGGAATTGGGGAGATTGGGGAAGTGGAGGGTAATTGGGCCTCCGGTAACCTCACTCACACGACGAAACACAACGCCAGCGTTGCTTCACGTCGGTTTTCTGTGAGGTATATCTACTATTTGACACAGAAATATGATGACGTCGTAAGTTGCGATCCAATACAAAATTCATACAAAAGTATCGTTTTTGACATTTCAATAAAAGTATTGAATTTGACTACAGACCTGTCATCTACCGTATTGTACCTACTACTATTAAATACATGAGATATTGACGATAGGTACTCATTATTTTGTACTTCTAATGCCTTGCGCGCTCTTGCCTACTGACAAAAATAAAAAGTTGATATGTAATTAGTAGGTATCTGACAAGGACGTTAATCCTAATCGGTTTTCTTTTTCATTTCTTAATAAATAAATAATAGACATTTAAACATGAGAAGGAACTAAGTATTTATCTAGAAGTTGTTTAGCTTGAAAGGGTTTTATTTTAAGGGGGGAGAAATCATCGAATGACTCGTTCTGTCAGTTGTAGAATAACTGTTATAAGTATAAGTCATAATGTGAAACAGTTAACTGTAACCACCTTTCTGAATAAATATTATTATTATTACTTCTCCCGCCTGGGTAAGGCGGGAGAGAGAATTAGCTTGAAAGGGTGGTACCAACCTGAAGATATCTTTGCACTCAGGGGCGACATATTGGGCTTCCTTTTCCGTGTGCATATGGACAACTTTGATGCCTTTCAACCCGCCACTTTTGCCGACATCTGTCATGGCGTGTAGAAGGGGCACCGGAGTCGCAGCCGCGCCCTGGACGAATACAGTTTGACCTGGAATATTAAGAAAATAAAGTTTAAACATTGTGAACTGTTTTATAACTTTAGTGTGACAGTTTGGCTGTACGGGCGAATATGAGCCCCTAGTGTGGCTTGAAACTAGTTGAGTGATCTCAAACAATTACGTAAGTCAAAATTTGGGCTATAAAACAAAAATTATGTGAAATAATTGTTTTTTTTATGTCATAAGCCGGTAAACGAGCAGACGGATCATCTGATGGTAAGCAATCGCCGTCGCCCAGGGACACCTGGAACACCAGAGGCGTTACAATTGCGTCACCGGCTTTTTGGAGATCAGGAGTTTGAGGATCGTTGGGGATTCAGGATTGTATATATTGTATATATATATATATAATTGTATATATTAATTATTTAATTTCCATGTTATTCGATATATGGAGAGAAGACGATATGAGGAGTCTACACATTTGCCTTAAAATAGCTTACTTGCCAGTTCCGAAAATCACAAACGAAAAACATAATGGAAATAAATTACGAGTTAGTTTAAATGGGTAATAATGTCCATAATCATGTTAATAAAATCTTTAATACAGCCTCACGTAAAGCTATACCAAACTGTTACATTTCTTCAATAGAAATTCGACTGTATTCAACAAAACAATAGAGTTGGAAAACACCTGACAGTTTGGGGTATCTCAATGTGCTGTTGGTACTTAGGTATTTTATGTTCGTCGTATCATTAAGTCAATGCATCAGATAAACGGCTTACGATCTTTCATGACGTTTGCAGTTGTGTAATTTGCAATCTTTGAAGTAAACACCTGGTTCTATACTTATCTTGATGCTTTTACGAGTCTAATAACTTTTTTTATGGAATAGGAGGCAAACGAGCAGACGGATCACCTGATGGTAAGCGATCAGCGCCGCCCATGGACACTGGCAACACCAGAGGAGTCACAGGTGCGTTGCCGGCCTTTTAAAAAGGAATACACTCTTTTCTTGAAGGTCGTATCGGTTTGGAAATACCGCCGACCGATCATTCCACAGTTTTGCTGTGCGAGGCGTGCGAGGCAGAAAGCTACGTGAGAAGCGCATAGTTAGTTGTGGCCTGCCAACCATCTATAGGTATGATGGGGATACATATGCATATGTTACTAGAAATATCGTATTTTCGCTGTTGCTTGGAATTTAAACACCCAGGTTGCTTAACCATACGGAGCCGCGGAAGGCCTAATCGGTTGTCGGGGCACTCGAGGAGCAGAAGTAGGAACGGAGTGGTTTTTAGTCAGTAAGAGTCTGATACTCCCTTCCGCCTCACCCAGGCGGGAGCAGTATTTCGATGATTATCCCCATCAAAAAAGTTTACCTAACCATTGTTGGTCAATCAACTTAAAGAACTCTTTATTTTAATGCAGTGTTTAACACGTTAATATCTGCTCTAAAACTCATTTAGATCGGTTCAAATAGAGAACCTAGTATTAAATTTTCTTGAAACATTTTGACTTAAAAAAATATTACATTAATATTGTGGACATCTTTTTTTGTAAAATGTTTAGTGCATCTAAAGTTTTTTTTTAAATTTTTTGTTTTTTTAATATTAAGCAATAGAATATTATTCCAAATGTCATTGCACCGGAAGAATAGTTCAACAATACTTAAAGTTAAATTATTATCTGTGCCAGTTCATAACTACTTACATTAATTATCTGTTTACATACTCGATATTACGATGACCCTACTAATGTCGTCATTTCTTAATAAGTTCAAGAAACATTAACTTGGTCATTCATTAATTCATTATTGACGTGCATGACGCAAATAAAATTATTGTTTTTTATTCAGTTGAAAAAAAAAAACAAGATGGCTACGTCCCTACTTTAGTTACTTCATTAAAATAATTATAAATTAACGGTCGAAAGAATAAAAGGTTAGTTAGTTATTAATGGTCGCTTTACGTGTCAATATTTTTCCCCTTAGGTATATCTCCCGTATATTTAAACTATTTCAATTTAATTCAGTTAATTAATCTTCAAACCAATGTGGCCAGTTACCTAAATAATATTATCATATTTTGGATAAGTATCCAGACACGAAGTAGTTACGTACGAAATACGATAAAAATATTATAAAGAATGATCTCACACATTGGTGAAGTCAAAATGCTACAATAACCTTGACTTTGAATATGCGCCGGTCTCAAAATAGTTTAAAAACAAACATGTTACAAATCTATAAAAAAACAAATTCACGATCGAGTTTTCAGAGAGACTTGCACATTACTGTGTGTAATTCTGTCACTATTAATTAATGGCTCATTTTCAAACTGAATCTGTTCTATCGAATCGGTTCAGTATCAAGTGACTATCAATCTGCCTGTCTATTATCTTTACATTGTTCTCACCAGTTCTCACCTATGTGACGTACAATATTGGAATGTGTATCAGAGACATTGTAAAACAACTTTTTAAAAAGAGTAACAAATCGAGTTTCTTCTCGCTCGTTGTTCTCCATTCGAATCTACATTTTGGAACAAGCGTCTAGCTTCACTAACGGACAGACTGACAAACTATTATTTATTTTATACTTGTTGACGTTTCAAAAGTATTAAATTATAGTTTAATTAAAATAAATGCTTTTGAGTTTGAATTTATAACGATGGTATTCTACAAAAATTCACTTGGGCAATTAATCCAACTACTGCTGATCATAACCGGCTACCTAAGAACGTAAGAATCTCGAAATGGTCAAGCATTACAATGACGAGTCACTTTGAACTTAATTTCAATGAGATTAAGAAGGCACAAGTCCAAGGTTGTTAGCCAAGTCTTATAATGCCACCTCACATCTGTTGAAGCCACATTTCGTATTGTTTATTATTATTTTATGCGCACGAACAACTGAATAAAGCAAAATGAATTAATTTATAGATAAATAAACAGCTGAACTTGAACTAGATACAATCATTACGTACACAAGTGGTGTTATCGTATGCATCGATAACTACTCGTACTTAAGTGGATTTCCCCTTTTTTTGTTAAGTAGCTTTAGCGTAATGCATTTATCTACGTAGATCCATAATCCATTGGTAGTAACTACCAATAATGTGTAACATACTGTGTGTTTGGAAGGATAGATTCGTCAATACTAGAATTACGTAGAATACGTGTACAGTTGTGCACGTATGTACTGCCACAAGCGCTTTGCATATATGGTTTCTGGCCAAAAACGTCTAAGCGGATATAAATTAAATCTGACATGGAGACGTTGACCTATACCAGCCGTTCGATAGTCGAGGGTCACTCTCCAGTACCCTTCAAACTTTCTGTGAGTCTGTGACCAAACTCCGATCACAAGTCACCTGCCAGACGTGTGAATATGGTATATCCTCAAATAAAGAGAATTGCTTTTGTTCAGTAGTGGAAGTCTTCTGGCTAATCCTTACTATAATATTATAAATCGGAAAGTGAGTTTGTTTGTTTGTTTGTTCCACTTTCACGGCGTAACTACTAAACCGATTGCTTTGAATTTTTGCAGACGTGAAGTTAGAATTCTGGATTAAATAATAGGGTACTTTTTATCCCGGAAAAATTTGATATTCTCAAGGGAAAACGAAATTATTGGTATAGATGGCGCTGTGTGTATTGGTTTATGTCACATAGGCTACTTTTTATCCTTTTGTGACGCGAGCGAAGCCGCGGATAAAAGCTAGTAAAGAATACAAATACAACCAATTGGCTTTCTAGTTATACATAGGTACAATATTATTATGCAACTGCTACTTTATTACGCCAATAAATTGGACTTTTGCACTGATAATTGTTTTAATGTCATTGATTTCATATCACCTTGTTACTAAATGCTATCGCTGGTGAATGACCGTCAAAAGACCGCTAAAGAATCTTCGATGAGAGACGTGGTAACAATATATTAAGGTTAAACAAGTTTATTATGATCAATTCAATTGTTTCATTACAAAATTGAACTGTGAACAGTGTTGAATTTAAATTCGATATAAGAAAAGATAAAGAAGAATGGAAAAAGAAGACAGAATTGACCAATTACAAATAACTTGGAATAATGTAATTGAATTATTTGCAAAATAAATATAATATCTACGAGTTTGTTTTTCGAACGAGTACGCGTTCGGCGCTGTGATTGGCCGGCTCCAATGAATCAACCAATCAGAGCCCCGGACGAGGTTTCGTTTCGATTACTTTAAACGTAGAACAAACTTATACTAATACCTCTGACCAAGAAATATCAATTGTTTGTTGTAGATGTGCCATGTTGAAAGTCAATGACTTTCATTACATAATTTATGTGATATATAGGTGGACCCCTGTGTCATTGCGTCCCATTTGTATCAATTGAGAGAACAGGCGTGTCGTGCATTCCTAGGATACCTCTATTGAAACTAGAGAAGTACGGTTTTAAATGTAGGTACCTACGCTAGTTTTTTGGATAAGTTGGTAAACGAGCTGCTGGACACCAGAGGCGTTATAAGTGCGTTACCGGCCTTTTGTGAGGATTGTTGGGGATTCAGGAATGTTTCACGTCAGTTTTCTGCTCGGCGGTGGTATCACTCGGATCGAGCCGGCCCATTAGCCCTCAGTTCGTACGCTAGTAAGCAATATCTGATCATTGAGTATTATTTTACGTCATTTCAATAAGGTTAATAATCTTAAGTGAATTTTTCTATAAAGAAGGTAATTTTGTTTCAAGGTTCAAAAGTGGTCCCTCAGACTTCAGGGATTGGGTTCATTTCATCTTGTCTGTGTATGATTGCATGAAACAATAATAGAATATTAACCATCATAGTCCACCATAAAGCATCTGTTTTCCTTCAATACTACACCATATTTTCCCTTTTTACATCAATTTCTACTTTAAAAATAACCATTGATTTTCATCAAAAACAAAATTTAATGGCGGATTTTGCACCTTTACATTTTTATGACTATACTTTTTTATCATACACCGATTTCGCCACTGCGCCAAAACGCTGCTTTCTTTATCACTGAAACCGAATCAAA